TCACTGGCAGTCTTTGACAATACTGAAAAGTCTTCAGATGATTACTAGAGGATCTGACTGGCTCTCTACACTCAGAGGAAAGATAAGACGGACATATAACCAGATTACAACCGGTACAATTATTATTGCAACGCTACGCTGGCTGTTGAAGATGAGAACGGAGCGCGCCTGAGTGCTGTGTTGTCAATTCTTGACTCAACTTAACTCAAGTTGATCGCTTTTAGGCACGAAAAGAAGCCTTTTCTTCTCTTCTTTCAGTTACCTAATCGAGATATTGGAGAAAGTTGTAAAGATTTTATAATCACCTTTCTAATGCGTTGTACAAGAAGAACTTCTTATTTGGATGCTGTCCTTCCATCTTTCGCATTGTCACCCTTCTGCTCTGTGTTCACATATTTCTCTTTCCGTGACAGTTGGTACCTGTGTGTTCTCATCAGATGGCCAAATCTTCTTATTCGTTGCTTGTTAATGATTTGTATGAATGGTGTCATCTCTAAAAATTTAAAAATTGCTAATTTTAGTTTGAAAATTGATGCAATGCACACGAAATGCCGTAGTAGTGAAAGATGCTGTTCTTCAGATGAGATGGCATAGTAAAAGTTGAAACTAGTAGTGGTGAAGTTGTACTGCAGTTAGGCATTACAATTTTCAGCAGTACTGTATGATTTTACAATATGATGTCCAGCATTGATGGTACAGTATTTGAAGATTCAACCCCGGTCATTGGGTTGAAGCAGATAAAGAAAAGAGCGAAAGACATTGCACCCGAGCCCGACGGGGTTAGATATTCCCACATGAAAGACATGAGTGATGCAGACTTGTTGGAGATGACTGCTTGCTTTAACCAGAGCATTAGGACAGCTTCAGTTCCAGAAGACTGGATGCACAGCTACCTGATTCCACTTCCTAAGCCTGGTAGTAATCATTCAACACTCGGCGGCTTTAGGATCATAACCCTACAAAACACCTTTGGTAAATTCTGGAGAAGAAAATGTGGAGTAAGCTGCAAGAATTTTTGGAACAGAGAAATCTCCTTCCACGAAGATTGGGAAGTTACCGGCCGGGGAAAGACAGTGGTGAAATGCACCCACTTTTGCCTTTGATACCTTCGAAGGTTTCCAGAACAGACAGGAAACGATGGCAGCGGCACTTGATTTAGAAGACGCTTACAACAGAGTCAGATACAGTATCTTGATGAAAGCGCTTATGGAGAAATGAGTCTGTCCTTGTTTGGTGAATTGGATAGCAGCAGTTTTGTAAATTCGCCGGGTAGCTCTAAGCTAGGCTTCATGGACCTCTGAACCATGTATTAAAGCCCCAGGACTTCCACAGGGATCTGCAATTTCACCTGTACTATTAAAGGTTTTTACGAGCAAGATTGACTGCTGGAAACACCTGGAAATAGCAGAATATTGACATTTGCAGATGATGTTCTTATATATGGAAAGGGGAGAGATCGGAATCAAATAGCTGAAGAGTTGTGACAAGGGCTCAAAAAGGTCTACATGCACTAAAGATTATGACAGCGATGAACATGTAGCAGAGAATGCTGTTCACACTTTACCAGAACTTAATCATCTCAGTGATTGATTATAGATGGCTTTTACTCACTGTCTAGAGAAACTGGAGCGCATACAGAATGAACCTTTGCGGCTGATCCTGGGTTGTACAAGAGACACCCCGATTGTTTGCGTGCGATACATCCTTGCATTGCCGACTATTGCAGATGGGCTTAAGGTGCTGCAGGTGCTGCAGGGCGTGGTGGGTAATGAACAGCCAGACAGATTGGCTGGATCCGCACCACTGGGTGGTGAATTGATACATGACAAGCAGATGTGGTCAAGGCCCTTTAAGAACAGGCAACGGAATGGGTAGAGAAAGAAGATTATTATGGAGTGTAGAGAATGAGGCACCTGGGTGTAACCAGAGGGTCTGGCCTGCTCACTACACTCAGAGGAAAGGCAACAGCAGTGCTTTGAAAAGTCACTCATTCAATTCTCCAACAGAAGTGATGTACAAGATGACTCCCATCCGAACACTGCCTAATAAAGAGCTAGTGTCCACGTCAATCGAATCCAGTTGTACTTCTTCAGTTTGTGCTTCCATTACATATTCCTATAAATCTGTAGTAACACATCTGCTGAGATATTGCGAAAAAGCCTGCCAGTAATTTGTGCGATGTATTGTTTGTGTCCGCATTATCTTGTGTTCTTTATTGTTTCTCTCCAGAAACCAGAATGCTGTAGCGGCTACTTTGGATCTTTGTGTAAAGGTAAGTGAACTGTGAGTGACAGCTTATTCTTTTTCAGCACTGCAATCATTTACTTGTCAATTGCGTCACATAATGTATGCAATCATCTGCATATATATATATATATACATACACACACACAAACACACACATATTTTATACCCACACTTACATAAAGGAATATTTTGAGAAAACAAGTAGGAAGATGCAGATTGAACAATTTAATTATATTCTTAGTGAGGCATCTAAATCCGTCTACTTCCATTTTAATTCTCCTAACCACTAAGGTGAAAGCGATATCTCAGTTACTGCTAGAAATCTTGTTCCGGTGATCTAACCACAAAAACTGTAGACAATAATTCCCTTCAGCGCTGGCTTCGTGTTTTCTGCATAGATCAATATTCAGCACGGCTGTGTGTAAGTTTTTTGCTTTTAATTTGTTTTTGTTTTTTTAATATAACTTGTTTCTTTTTCTACTCTTTTTTTCTCAATTCAAACGCATTCATGCTAATAATTTACTTTCCTAATATTACTTTTGGTGTCCATACTTTGTTTTTCTAAAACGTATTTCTTAGTGTCATGTTGACCTTGGTTTTTTGCTAGCTCTGTTTAATTGTCCTTAAAGTTCTCCGGTCACAGTTTATGTTACATTTAAATTTTAATAAGTGGCTCATTTGATAAAGACTTTCGTCCAAACGTGTCCTTTCCATTTTATCTGAAATCATGTTTGTGTTGCATTAAGGAAATTTAAGTGTATTCCAGGCTGGTTGTGAGCATCCTATCATAATGTCCCAATTATTCTGATTCTAGTGTTCTCCAGCTGATAGGCTCTTTCATGCAGATGGGCTGCCAAAATGCCTCTTACAATGAAACAGTCTAGACGAGTTATTGACAAGATGTGATCAAATTTCCGACAATATCCTCAACAGTCGGATTAATCAATAGTAGTATTATAGGAACATCTTGTTTTCTTGTCTGTTACTCAGATTCGGGTTCTTTACGTGAGTATCGTTCTTTTTATTTTAGTTTATCAGGTTCATATTCTCTCTACTGTAAGCATAATTATTTTCATTATAGTTTATCTGCTTTGTATGTTCTCCACTACAAGTTTCATTCGTTTTTGTTTTTTCTATAATTGTTTTTATTCGTAGCACTACATCTAATTCTTAAATCATTATGTAAGCACTGTTCTTTCATTTTATAGATGGTTCTAACGTGTGGGTACTCAACTACAGACACTGTTCTAACGTGTGGGTACTCAACTACAGACACTGTTCTAACGTGTGGGTACTTAACTACAGACACTGTTCTAACGTGTGGGTACTCAACTACAGACACTGTTCTAACTTGTGGGTACTCAACTACAGACACAGTTCTAACGTGTGGGTACTCAACTATAGACACTGTTCTAACGTGTGGGTACTCAACTACAGACACTGTTCTAACGTGTGGGTACTAAACTTCAGACACTGTTCTAACGTGTGGGTACTCAACTTCAGACACTGTTCTAACGTATGGGTACTCAACTGCAGACACTGTTCTAACGTGAGGGTACTCAACTACAGACACTGTTCTAACGTGTGGGTACTCAACTACAGACACTGTTCTAACGTGAGGGTACTCAACTACAGACACTGTTCTAACGTGTGGGTACTCAACTATAGACACTGTTCTAACGTGTGGGTATTCAACTACAGACACTGTTCTAACGTATGGGTATTCAACTACAGACACTGTTCTAACGTGTGGGTATTCAACTACAGACACTGTTCTAACGTGTGGGTACACAACTTCAGACACTGTTCTAACGTGTGGGTACACAACTTCAGACACTGTTCTAACGTGTGGGTACACAACTTCAGACACTGTTCTAACGTGTGGGTACTCAACTTCAGACACTGTTCTAACGTGTGGGTACTCAACTACAGACACTCACTGTTCTAACGTGTGGGTACTCAAACTTCAGACACTGTTCTAACATGTGGGTACTCAACTACAGACACTGTTCTAACGTGTGGGTACTCAACTACAGACACTGTTCTAACGTGTGGGTACTCAACTTCAGACACTGTTCTAACGTGTGGGTACTCAGCTACAGACACTGTTCTAACGTGTGGGTACTCAACTACAGACAGTCTACAGTCAAATTATGAAGATTGTAACTCACAGATTCTTAATTCTGCAGGCTGCGGTGCCCTTGCCACATAGACTAAGACGATGAATGTCATTATTATAATTAGTTCAGAACGTTAATTCAGATATAAGTCAATATAAATTAGTGCTAAAGCTATCCTCTTAGACATAGGGTGACGATTTTGATGATGATGATGATAATGATTCAATTTTACACGGTCACTGACTATTTTTGAATATTGTTAGGCCTATGCATAGTTATCATCGTCATCATCATCCGCATCGTCACGTAGCAAGTCCTTTCCAGAACGCCGCTACCAACACGACCTGCTGAAAGCCCCTCGGTAATCTACTAATTTTCATGCCCTATGGTCGTGGAAATCCTGTATCCACCGTCTGGTGGTCAATCGCTGCCTCTTCTACTAGTAACTATATCCTCCATTACTGTCCTCTCCCAAACATGGAATATCTCCTCTGTTTCACAGAATGTCCTGGAGGTGCAGAGAACCCTTGCTCGGGACATGGAAATTGTTATTCCGGGATGACAGGCAATGGAAGCTGCTCTTGTGATCAGGGATTCTCGGGATCTGACTGTGCTCAGTGTGAGGATCCGAAC